GCTTGAGACTGGGGATTTTAGGCTTTCTACAATCAGCCAGCCTTCATAGACTTCAGCCTTGCCCACACTGAAGGGGAGAAACAAGCTCAGAAGACTAGAAAGAAAACATGGTTTCTGTTGGGAAGGGGAGGTTCACCTCTAAGGTTCATCTCCTGCTGGTTGCTTTCATACACCCACAGTGTCTCCACAGAGGTCTTCAGCTCCCCTGCCCTTCCCTTCACACCTGGGTTGCAGAAAGAAAAAACCCTTTTGCTGACAATGCTTAGGGTGCAGTAAAATCCAAGATGTGTTGAAAGAACACTCTTAAAAACCAGGCTTTTAGATTTAAAGATGTGTTCTCAGCAGTTCTTTTGCAAATTGGATGAGTCAAACTCCAGCACTGGGCCAAAGCCCAGTTCCACCAATTTCATAGGGGCAGCCTCAGTCCCTCCTCTGCCCGTGGTTTCCCCACCACATCCCAGGCTCCATCCTGTGCAGGACGGCTCCCTGGGGTTCACTGGCCTCCATCTCATGGCTGTTTTCCCTGGGGCAGTAAAGCCACTCTTGGGCAGAAATTGCTGGTCCTGTGCTCCCCAGCCCAGATCACAGAATCATAGAATCATAGAATCACATAATTACATAATCATAGAATGGCCTGGGTTGAAAAGGACCTCACAGAGCGTTTAGTTTCAACCCCCTTGCTATGTGTAAGGTTGCCAACCACTAGACCAGGCTGCCCAGAGCCACATCCAGCCTGGCCTTGAAGCTCCTTCCATGTCACACTGGGACAGGGTCAGAGGCACAGGATGTGACCCCACACCAACCCCAAAGAGTCATCACCATTACGTTTTGTAGGATGTCTGGGGCCAGAAAACGCAGCTGCAGGCAACAGCTGGGAAAAGGCTTTGGAAGTAAGGGCAGCAGTAGTGTTGTGTGATAGAGGCACTGTGATGGGAGCAATGCACACAGCCCTTCTGCTGCGCGCCAGTTAATGCTAAAAGGCAGATTAATAACTAATCCTGCTCACTGAGGTGTGATGCCGTCACGGCAGTTTGCCATGGGAAAGATTCAGCCTTCTCTGCTCCCTGTGTAGAGACCACACCTTATAGTTTTTCTTTCTTTTTAGAATATAGCAGAAGCCAGGAAAGCTGGTTTGGATTCACACTGCCTTCTCAGTGACATTCATTCTTCAAACAAATCCATGAAAGAAATGCCAAAATCTGTGGGCTTGCACCTTGGCATGCCACAGGAGAAACCACCAGCGAGCAAAAGGGAGAGACTGCCCTGACGTGATACATATTTCAACTTTGAATTTTAATCCTTTTCGTCATTGATATGGCTTTCTAGAGCTTCTATACCACAGGAATGCATCTGTCTCTGTTGAAGATTCATAGAAAACCCAGCAAGCATCAGGAAAGAAGGCAAAACTTAAACACATGGTGCAGTGTTTATTGTCACAAGATCAGCTTCCTCAATGTACTGTCTGTAACTGCCCTAGAGAAGTCTGGTGGGAACAGAAGCCTGAGAAAATAGAACTCTGCAGGCTCTGTTTGGGTTCTTACAGAGAAAGGATCCTGTTATTCCTCTTATCCTGCGAGTGAGCTCCTTCCTCGCTCTCTGGCCCTCCAGTAATGAAGGTGATGACATTGGTTCCATGGCAGCCATTGCCATGCCCCATCACCCACGCCCTCCTTGCCCTCACATTGCCACCAACACTTCTTGACATGGGTTGGGACAGCCAGCCTCTATACTGTCATGCTCAGGAAATGAGCAACCTGAAAATGAGATCAGATAGCAAGATTTTGTCCAAGCAATTGTGTTTCTTGACTCCACCTTGGCCATTGGTCTTGGAAGTGCCATAAAGGACAGCCAGATGCCACAATGAGGCAATCCAGTGCTGGTGGTTTCAGTGGGTCATAGAATCACAGAGTCACGGAACCATTAAGGTAGGAAAAGATGTCCATCAAGTCCAACCGTCAGCCCAGCCCCACCGTGCCCACTGACCGCGTCCCTCAGTACCACATCTTTACGGTTCTTGAGCACCTTCAGGGTTGGTGACTCCACCGCCTCCCTGGGCAGCCTGTGCCACTGCCTCACTGATCTTTCTGACAAAATTTCTCAAGAAATGTTTCCTAATATCCAACCTGAAGCTTCCTCGGTGCAACGTCAGGCTATTACCTCTTGTCCTATAGCTGCTACTGGGAGAAGAGGCCACCTCACCACGACCTCCTTTCATAGCAGTCACACAGTAACAACTCGAGTGTATAAAGAAATGTGAAGGGTTGGGCAATTTTGGGGTATTCCTATGTACATACCTGTATTTGGAGATGTCTGTGTGTACATATATATATGTCCGCGTGGCTCATTATTTATTAGAAGAAATGACTGCTGGGTTTGAAGAGCGCTGCCCAGCAGAGGCTGGCAGTGTTTCAGACACGAGGTACATCTCCTTCCCCGGACGGAGGCGAGCAGCCCGCCTGCCTCGGTACAGCACCGTCCCCCGGCACCGCTCCGGGCTCACCGCATACCTCCGCCCTCGCTCCTGGAGAGCGGCCAAGCTGCTTCTAGCAGCGACTGGTCTGCTGTAAAAAAAGTCACCAGGCGGCCCACCGCCGCCTCTTTCCCGCATCTTCGCCCCTCGCCACCCTCGGGCTCGCCCCCCCCCGGCCCGGCTCAGGGCCGCCCCGCGGCGAGGCGGCCCTTGGCGGCGGCCCCGGCTCCGGCCCCGGCTCGGGCGCGGCGGCCATGGG